AGACGGTGAGACGGCACTTCCATGTTCCAGTACTCTCTCTGTTACTTAGGTGCCATCACAGCCTGTTGCTCCTTGCAAGCCCAAGGGCCATCCAGATTCTAAAGCCTGTGCACCACCCTTAACCAGATAGGGAACCTGTCTCCATGCCAATTAAGGGGCACCTTTGTGAAAAATTCTTGAAAGTGACTGTTTCTTCCCTGGGCAGATTAAGGACTTGGAAACAATCCTGACTCCTGTTTCCCGTCCCCCTAGGGAATGTCCAGTCCAATGTGTTGTCGTCATTGCAACCCCTAAAGGCAAATTTCAAACAGCAGAATCACAGCTGTGCACACCAGAAATATTAATCACAGCCTTTCAACAGGTTCTGTGTAATGCTTTATTTATATGCTGTATTTTGGTCATGCTTGAGCGAGAATACGATTTCTCTGCACACAGAAGAGATTGCAGGTGATCTATTGAATCAGACCTGCCAGATACAATGATGGATGGCAACTGAGGTGTCACAAGTTGAGAATCGACAGTGCACTTTCTCTGCACAAGACCACTTTGTATTAATTCCATCAGCCGTTGTTTTGTGTTTGACTTTATATTCTGACAATCCCTTCTGAAGGTCTTAGAAATGATTTTGGAAGTAGGATGGACTTGTGTTATTTTGAAGATTAATGTAAACAGCAGGACTTGAATAAACAGTGTGATGTCGCCACTTGCTTAATTTTCAAGTGATGCATTTCCAAAATAGAATTGCTCGATTCCACAGAATAAGAACCTTACAGTTGACCTACTCCTGCTTTTATGAACCATTCCTAAAACATGGTAGAATAAATGAATGGTAAATATATTGTTTCTGGGTTTATAAACAAAGGGTCTATGCCAGGATGCTGAGCTTTGCCAGAACACTACTGGTGCTATAATTGGCAACACAGCACTGGGGAAGAAAAGAATTTATATTTATATAACACAGTTCAGACAAAAAGCATTGCAGCAACTCATCAATCCTCCTTTGACAACACCTTCCAAATCCTTGCACAGTAACTAGAAGGACAAGGCCATCAGACAAAATGGAGAGCACCATGCCTTGTTAGGTGTCAAATAGAGGTGGGCAACAAACGCTGATCTTGTCAGCGGATCTCACATCCTGTGAATGAATAGAAAAAAATTAACCATTAGTTGTCATAAAGCACTTAAAAGCCTAAGAAGTGCTTTTGAAATGAAGACATGGTTGTGATATGGAAAATGCAGCAACTAATTTTCACACAGAAAGGCTCCCACAAGCAACAATGTGATAATGACAAAATAAGCTGCTTAACAATATTGATGGTTAGATAACTATTAGCCAGGGCACCAGGGATCTTTTACTTCAGTTAAAAACAGCACGTCCAAGAATGCAGCACACCCTCACAACTGCATTGACTTATAGCTTTGATTTTTCTACATATGTGTTGGAATAGGGTATCAGCCCATTCTGATTAGAGGTAAAATTACAACCAACTGAGACATGGCTGATATCGAGTCACCAAGAATTTTCGTGTCTGATCCATTTATCCCTGCATACTTTCACTCTAGGATCTATGACTTTTGATATAAAATGCTCACCAGCTCTATGAGCTAGTTCACAGATCACCGGCTAGATTCAGGTGAATATGACATTTATGGCACATTGGAGGTCTTGCTTCCAGAATGCCAATGCTACTGTCTTTTCATTAATTCTAATACCCACCTAAAATAAAGTTTAGGACCTCACTTCAACATTTCACTGAACTGACAATTTAACACAACGTGAACAGAAAGGTTATGGTTTATGTAATTTAAAGTGATGGGCTTACCTCTAAAATGATGGTATCCTCAGAACAAAAAAAATGCAGTGAACCTTGCGAATGACACACACTGGTCCGATTTATCTTCTGTCCTTCAGAATGGAGCTACAGTCTGAGCAATACATTCATTTCCAATTATTGCTTTTTTCTTAACGTTTTGAGTATACAGACAAAAGTTCTCACTAGTTGAGGAAACAAAACTTTACTGTTAATTGTACTTTAGAATTGGCATTGTTGGCATAACGATTATTACCTTGCTGCTCAATGTAAAGGCAAAACCCTGCAAGTTTCTCTTTGTATGCTTTAGAAGTTATTCACAAATAATCATGTGAAAAATGGATATGTAACTAGAAAAGGGGATTTACACAGGCAGCTGGAATTTAGGTAGAGGAGTTGAGTGTTCCAAAGAGTATTGAAGTCTGAAGGACAGAAAGACTTAGGGAACAAGTTTCATCAACAGTGGTACTACTGTAAGAGCTAGGATGCACACCAAGGTCAGGGTAAGAGGAATGGAACAGGTCAGAAGGGCTTCCAAACTGGAGAACGTTGGAGAGTTCAGGTGAACAAACCATCAAGGGAATATGACAAGGAATGTAGGTATTTTGAATGTAATGCATTGGGGGATGTAGGTTAACAAGGATTAGGATTTATATTAGAACAGTGCATTTGAATTTTAGAAAGTTAAAGTTTCTGATGGATGGATCAAGGTAGAGGTTGCTGAGGGCAATATTGTGAAGATGGGAGGATGTCATCTTATTAATGAATAGAATGTTTAATTTAAAGGAGGTCAATATTTTACATGCTTGGTTTTAACCTGAGAGAGTGGTCAGTGTTTTGTATGGGTCTGAAAGTGTCTAGAAGGGTGATTGAGTACTGCAAGAACTATCCACCGTGACGATGACATGGAGACTTGGGCAGAGAAAACAAAGAGGGCTTGCGGGAGACATATTCAGGAGTAGTGTGTTCCTATCAATTTCTGTAGTAATGTTAAGTCATATTCATGTTGTCCGTAAATAATTACAGGAATGCAATAAACTTCATTTTATTCAACAAGACACTTCTAGTTAGATTACAGAGGTGGATATTCTCATTCACATGGGACCACTTCAGGCTTGAAGGAATGCATACATGGAAGACAAGGAGATGATTTTGTATAAAGTGCTTTTGTCCTGTCGCAGTCTTTGCTAACAATCACAGAGCTGTTATGTTGCAGAAGGAGGCCATTCATCCCATTACATCAACACCAGCTTTTTGAGCATTTTGTCTTTGATTTTATGTAAAGAAGTGTTTGCACATTTTGTTTACATTATGCTATTGGATACAGAAGTACCTGCACTTGTTTCTGTCATAAAATGTGTCCAGATGTCTCAGTGTTTTGATCCTCACAAACATGGCAGTAGGATCCCTTGGCAGGATATGGAAAGATTCTTAATTCAGGCCTGATTCTTAGTGCATAAAAACTGAAAGGACTGCGGATGCTGTAAATCAGAAACTAAAACCAAAGTTGCTGGAAAAGCTCAGCAGGTCTGGTGGCATCTGTGAAGAGAAAATAGAGTTAACATTTTGGGTCCAGATACTCTTTCTCAGAACTTATCCACGACTCATCTTAGTGCAACCCGTTACAGGAGTTGGCATCACTTCCCAAAGAAAAGGAGAGCACAGCTAATTCTCATTGACTTTGAATCAAGGGTTGAATCATGGAAACAAATCAGAGCAATTTGCCAGCCTGTGTTGTCATTAGCACATTAGACCCCACCTGGACAATTGCTTTCAGTTCTGGAAGCTAAATTTGCTTGAAAGAGCTTTTCAAAGAATCATCGAATTGCTACAGTGTAGAAGGAGGCCATTCAGTCCTTCATGTTTTTTTTACTCATTAGTGGGATGTGGGCATCGCTGGCTGGCCAGCATTTATTGCCTATCCCTAGTTGCCCTTGACTGCGTTGGCCCTCAGAGTGTTTTGACAGAGTACCAATCTCCCACCTTTTCCCCAAAATCTTTCATATTGTTCCTATTTAAATAGAAACATTTTATCCTCTTTTAAATGCCTCAATTGATCCCACATCCGTCATATTTCCAGGCAGTGTATTCCAAATCCAAACCACTGACTGCATTTTGTTTTCTCACCTCACATTTGGTTCTTTTGCAAAACACTTTAAAACTGTGTCCTCTGGCTCTTCATTGTCTTACAAGTGGGAACAGTTTCTCCTCTATCCATTCTGTCCAATCTGCTCATGATTTTGCAAACTTTAAGCAAATCTCCCCTCAGTCTTCTCCTTTCCAAGGAAAGCAGTCCCAACCTCTTCAACCTATCCCCTTAACTGAAGTTTCTCATCCCTGGACATTTTAATATGACTTAAAATTTGTAATGGAGACAGAGTGAATAACAGGACTGGAAAAATACAAGATCAGTCAAATGCTAATCACACTTAAGATTTCACAGCAATACACGAGGGAACTAATCTAATTACCCTACACTCAAATAGTTACAGTATTTCACATCAATGATTACATTAGATTAGAACTAAATTCCCTTTGTGTGAAAACTGCAAAGTCATTGACAAAGGAAATTTATCTAACCACTGAACTAAGAATCAAAAAGAGCATGAAATGGGCTTGTGGGTACAGTCAATTTCTAACCAGTTATTATCACTGTTAAGATGTTTAAGATTATAGCTTCCACTGGGATGGTGATTTGGCATCTACTTCCACTTATTCACTGAGAAAATATGCAGGATTAATTTATAGTTTGTAACCAGCCATGGGAGAAAGCTGTTCCTAAGTAGTAAAAACTGCATTTAACTGGCACTACAACAAAGAAAGCTTCTAGACTTGGGAGTAAAAGGCCAACCAGAAACTATCGACCCTCAGAGAACAAAAGACATACACTTGGCACTTGCCAACACCTCATGCAGGTTTTCATTTCTCAGTTTCCAGGTTTTCGTAGCACAGTTCTTGTATGTACTGCAGTGTTGTAACAATGCTGTAGTGGAAATTGCTGGGTCTGAAATTATTACAGTGAAAAGATCCATTGTGCAAGCTGGAGGTGGACAGAATTTGAAACAGATGAATTGGAAAAGTCTATTTTAATGGTACCACCTGAACATTGAAAGGTCATATTCATATATTTCTGTTGAGACCACATCGTTTTTTGTAAAGGTGCAAAAAACAAAGTTTTGAATTGTCAATTGATCAAGTTACTTCCCTTGCTAAATTGCAGCTGTTTGTGGCACTGTCTGGCATATTTCATTGGTGACATATAGAGTTAGGTGACTTTGAAATGTTTCAATGGAAGTTATAATGGAAGGGTAAATGGCAGAAAATAGGCTTTTTTGGAGCCCATTAAAGTCCATTTATGATTGTAAATATCAATGTCCATACATGCTCTTTGAACTTATCCCCTCCTATAAACATGTCAAAGTTGTGTCCAGAAGCAGCAAGGGAACAGTAAAATGAAGGAGAAATTCCACTTGTCTCAGAATACATCCATGTAAGAGCTCCAACCAGAAGATATGTAGGTCAAAATACGTTTAATATTTAGGAATGCTGAAGCCCCTTCCCTGACTTCACGTTTCCAAAGTCCCTGAATGGGTTGTCTATACCCACCTTTCTTACAATTCCAGGTTTGAACCATTCCAATCACATATCCACCGCACCAATAGCAAAGATACAAATTATATCCTACATCACTCCTCAATCTTCTCAACCATCAGCAGTCACTGAGACAGTTGACCATAGAAAAAGCACTGAAAGTTTGCTGTCAAACAAGGAGGGATGAGCTTATCTTGCTCTAATCCCATCTATCCAGTTGCAGTCATTAATCATCAGAAGCATTCAACCTCCCGCTGGATCCAATTGTTGACTTTCTGCCAGCTCCAGCTGATGGTCTTCCTAGTGTGTAGAGTCTCTCCTTCCTTCCAATTGCCAAAGGACACCCCCAAGGATCCCAGACCATCTTGCCATTGGTGTTCCATTCGGCTGACTATGGAGCAAGAGAACAACCTGCAAAGTTTTATTAAATCCTTCTGTTAAGATCAGCTGGACTTTCATGTCAAGGAATTTTGCCTGTATCAAATGTAGCATGGTCCAGGACCTTCCAAACTTGCTTTCTATCACTCGAAAGTTGAAGTGCTTTAATTTAATCCTGGAAAAAAATGTCATCAAAACAATTATAATAAACTTGCGCTATTTTTGAATTATAAGGAAACTTGGAGAGCCATTCATTTTTCCATGAAAACACATCAGCCAGTGTTAACTTGGCAACCAAACAGAACCCTTTACTCCTGCAATTAAAGTGCAATGATCATTTGAAATTTGGCGTTCTTGTATATGTCCTGATGAGTGCTAGATGAAAAGCTTCAACATGTGTTTCTTTTCAGCAATACTCGAGAGTGAAAAATACCATTGGTGAACTCCACTCAAAGTTTTACTAAGACAAATGCAAGTGAACAGAATAACACAAAATTATTTTGAATTATTTTTGCCAAGGTTGTGCTGACGGCAAAAACTTATCTTTTTATAGTTCTTTAAATCTGTTCAAACAAAATAGTCTGTCAATTGCACCCTTAAATCAGCCAGGAAGTTGTATTTGAAACTATCTGAATGGAGTAAAACAATCTTAAGCTATATTCAGAGGGGAAAGGGCACTCTATCTGGGAAACTTACAGACCAAAATGAATGACTTAGGGGCTATTGTCAACACTGCCTAATGATGAAGCTTAAAGACACAATTTACTAGCAGCTTCAATTTACAAACAAGCAGACTAGAAAGATTTCTGGTGCCCAGCTTGTTAGAATAAAAGATATGCAACTTTGTCATGCCTTTTACACATACCACATCTCCCAAAATGATTTACAGCCAATAACCTGCCTTTCACCTTGAGTCACTGTGAGCTGGGAGTCCTGTCCTGATAGGGTTGCAAACCATTGTTTTTGTCCTGAGGAATCTGGAATTAATAAATTGTACATGTCAGAAAGCAGTGCCTGCTCCTTGATTACAGTATTGACACACCAATAAAAAGCTTTCAGGTGGGAGATATTATCCAAATTACCTGCACAATTACACATTTGTACCCCATTATCTCGTAAAAGTAGATAGATTTGGCAACTAAATACTTGGGCTAATGGATGCCACCTGGAAACTTTTCTTTAACACAATACTGATGTATTGTTAGCAACAAACCAGAAAGATTCCCTTTGGAGAATTATTTAAAGTGTAAAAAAAACGATTAGACAATTTTGGCTAAAATCTGCTCATTAATTTTTTCAGACAAAATAATATCGGAGAATGGCACACAATACCATTAGACTCTTAGCCAGAACGTAATGGGCAAAACAAGCAAAATTCAGTCCTGGAAGCAAGTTTGGAATTCTTCATTACAAGGAGATGGTATTTTTCACATTGGATTCTGCCGGTAAGTAAACTGGTTGCATGCCCATTCTTCAGTTGGAAACAAAACACTACTATAATCCAGAATAGTAGAAAAGCAATGATTCCGTCAAGTGAAAGTATCAGGCAGTGGGAGGGGTCTCACTTGCTGGCTGGAAGGCTGACAAAAGCCCCACATGTTGTCTTCCAAGTGACAGCATTGTGGATGAACCCTCAGTACATGGACTGCAACAGTTCAAGAAGGCAGCTCACCACAACTTTCACAAGGGTAACTAGGGAGGGACAATAAATGCCGGCCAGCCAGCAACATCCACATCCCATGGAGGAATAAAACTAGAAGTTCAACTAAACCACACACCAACTAGGCAATGGTTTGACAATTGGTGGGCCATGGAATTGAGACCCTAGCCAATCAGAGGCTGGCTTCTCTTGTACTCAGCAGAGCCACTGCAAAAGGTCATGGCTGCTGCTGGATGAGCACCACTAAGATCTCAGAGGACCTAGGGTGAAGGGATGTGGAGAGAAGGGGACAAGGTGGTATTGGAAGTAAAAGCAGTGGGCTGGTTCCCAGTGGGCACTCCCTGTCCTTTGTTTCATCTCTCGATCAAGCACTGATTGCCTTTGACCAAGGGATGCCCCTACACACACAAACCACCAAGGTGGCAAGCTGCCTGCAGAGCTTTTGTGAACACCACATAGCAACAAGTCTGCCTGTGGATGGGTTAGATATTTTCTCACCAACCTGTTCAGTTATTACAACCTCTGTAGCAAATGGGATTTAAACCTGGGCTTCTTGGCTCAAAGGTAGGGAACACCACCACTGTGTCATCATAAGAGCCCTCTCTTCTCCTTTTTGTTTAACTAAACCACCACCAAATCACCAACATTATTTATTAAACAATTAACAAGGCTGAGTTAATGAAGTAAGGAATGAAGCCTTTACATGGTTCTTAATTGACCACTTAAAGGCCTCAATTGATGATGGATCCAGAAAGTCAACCATGGACTTTCTCACCCAGAACTTAGTTCTGGTGGAGACAAGAAGGGAGGCAGGTTTTGGTACAACACCACCTCACCTAATAAAGTCCCCTTTCCTACCTCCATGCTCACTCCTGGCAACAGCAGAAAATTCCACCAAACGTTGTAATGGGAAAAGGTTTTCAACTTCTAATTCCTTGAAATTTGTCCAAATAAAGTGAAGTTTAAAGGGAACATATCTCTCAATTATTTTAAACATTTATGTGAAATAATGTATTCAGTTGCCAGTTTTAAATTGTGATTGTGGTGTTTAATCAAATATGATTTCTGAATTTTAAAATGTGCTAAGAATTTAATTAGGTAATGATTGTAAAACTTGGTACTGACCTTGAGATCACTGTTTTTATGATGAATTTAAATCGACAGGGTTCTGGTCCAGGCAATCTAAATTTTAATTATTTACAACTTCTGCTATTTTTGTGTAGCCCTTCCAAATATTTCCAAGGCATTTTCGAGCTATACAACTCAGTTTTAGAACTGCAACCTTGCCATTTCAACCTCTGTCACAGCTGGGCTAACACCTATTGCTATCTTTATGTAATATGATGTGTAGTGCATAATGTTAGAAGTAAGTGGGACGTCTTCATCATTATGACTTCTATTGCACTGGAATTGTTCCCATTTATTATGAGGTGAAAATATAAGCATGTGGGGTTTCTTGAAGAGGGCAGAGTGTGTCTTAGTGTTTTTTGTGATTCTGAACAAGCTGTTAAGGATATCATCCATTGGAAACCTTCCTGCAGGTAGTGTGTGGAGTATAAAACTGACTTCACTTGTGAGTTGTACTTCAAAAGTGCTTCAATCTGGGTCCAAACTTGTCATGCATGGCAATTATTTGCATACAAGATATTTGTTCATCAAATAAATGAGAGACACAAAGGAGAATCAACACTTCTGAGGTTGTTTTGAAACAGTATTCCTGAAGTAGAAAAACATTACTTGATTAAATTGAAACATGTATCAAGATCAAAGCATTACATGTCACATTTGGTTTTCAATGTTCGAGGTTATCCCTTAATGGTAAATGTCTAGTGTATAAATGCTACCGTGCAAAATGAGATAAAGGAAAAATCCTAAAAAAAAAGACTACAAAACTAGTGTTTACATACCAAACCTGTTTTAGTATTAAATTTAACTACATCAACATAATAATAAAAGGATTACAGTGATAATTTTATCACCTTTCAATGATGGAGTCATTAGTTGTCATAATCTACTATTTGCTTTTGATCTTTTTAAAGGAAGAGGACTATGGAGGTGAATCTTATCTTTTATTGGCTAAGTGTTAATTTTGTTGAGTTTCAGGGAATGCTTCCCTCAACGAGGTGTAGCAAGATCTTTTGCCACATCTTACCAAGTCAAACCCTCACCCTGATTCTAGCTCTGTCCTACCACTTGCTGCTCCTGAAACAGTTCGCCACTTATGGGGTATCCAAGAAAGACCAGCATTCCTGGTGCCTGCTCCATCTTAAAAAAACTGGTGTACTTGTGGACAAGCACTGGCATTCTGAAGCTGTTTGGTTGACAAAGGACAGCCTTTCCAAAAATGTCTAAGAAGCCCAAAGTAGCACTGTGAATTTCTGACAGATTCCTGGAAGTCTTGGTGGACGGGATGGTCCAGATGTGGGCTGTCCTCTATCTGGAGGACCAGTAGAGGAAACCACGCCACCAATTCCTGCCAGCACCCAGCATCACCACAAGTAGGTCAATGACTTTCCCTGAGAAATAGTAGGAACTGCCAATGCTGGAGTCTGAGATAACAAGGTGTGGAGCTGGATGAACACAGCTGGCCAGGTAGCATTAGAGGAGCAGAAAAGCTGACATTTCGACCCATCAGTTTTCCTGCTCCTCTGATGCTGCCTGGCCTGCTGTCTTCATCCAGCTCCACACCTTGTTATCAATGACTTTCCCTGCTCTGTCAGGTTAATTGCCATTCTTCTATCTCCTACCCCCAACTCACTCTATCTCTTTCACTGCACCAAGGCTTATGTTCTGCCATTCTTACAATTAACTGCAACATCTCTCTTGCTCCCCCTAATCTCCCACACCACTAACCCTTCACGGCCCCTGCACTGCCTACTCACTTGCCCAAGATACCTCAACAGCTCTTGTCCACCTGCACCAGCATTAGCAGCTGTTTCACCTCAAACAATCCCTCCCAGTCTCTAAGTTCAGGAGAAAACAGCCTGTAGTAGGGTGGAAAGAGCCAGTACAGATTGAGGGGTTCCCAATATCAGACTCCTCACCCACTACGAGGAGATCTCCAAGTAAAGGGAAGTACCAATCTTTATTCCATTTGCAACTCTCCCATTGACTTTGCTGTCAGTCTTATTCATTGCATGCCACTTCTAACCATGGCCGCTACCCATTCTGTTTCTTTTGTCTTGCAGGTGCTGGCAGCATGTCCATGACCTCTGCGTCAGCTCCACAAAGGTACCTCCCTGACACCTGAGGAAGTGAGTTTCGAGGCCTCAGAGGAAACATCAGCAAGGCCTCCTCCTGCACTGACTGCTAGCTCAGCTACTGACACCTCAGGGGCAACATCACGTTTAGAAAGTTTGGGAGCACAAGCTGCTGAGCACCTCACTGTGACAGCTCGGCAGCTGACAGAGGAAAGATCAGCTCAGGCTGCTGGCCCTCAGAGGATTGTCAGAGACCAGGCACTTGCCCATTCCCAGGCAGGAGAGGTCCCATCAATCAGCGACTTCATTCATGTAGACAGGGAGGAACAGTAGCAGCAGGCAGCATGTGGGAGCCAATGGGCTTCTTCCAAATTACATCATTTGATGATTCTTTACAGCTAACCTTTGCAAAACCTAGAAATGATTTGCCGCTGATATTATCAAGCGAATGCCTTATGTATTTGTATAGCAATATTATTTTGTTTTCAAAAATCAGGTTAATGTCTGGGTAAAATTGTAGACAGAGGAAAAGACAATTGTTGCCATGAGCAATTATTAGGCAAATTGGGACACCATAGTGGCTCAGTGGCTAGCACTGCTGCCTCACAGCGCTAGGGACCCATGTTCAATTCCACCCTCAGGTGACTGCGTGGAATTTGCACGTTCTCCCCATGTCTGCGTGGGTTTCCTCTGGGTGCTCCGGTTTCTTCATGGAGTCCAAAGATGTGCAGATTAGGTGGATTGGCCATGCTAAATTGCCCATAGTGTCCAGGGATGTACAGGCTAGGTGATTAGCCATGGGAAATGCAGTGTTACAGGGATTAGGTAGGGGTGGGTGGGTCTGCATAGGTTGCTCTTCAGAGGGCGATTGTGGACTCATGGGCCAAACGGCCTGCTCCCACACTGTACAGATTCTACAAGAAATTCTGCCCCAGTGCCTTCTGTTCCTATTCCTGCCAAGGGCTAAAATTCCATGCTTGTGTTAATAATAGACTGCCACATTGTATGCTTTGCACTTTTCTAGCTCAAAGGAACATATCCTGTCATGTTATGCACATCAGAAGATACCTAAATGGGTTCATTGTATAAAATATGTACTCCTAAATGACATTAATAT